TTACAAAAAGCTGTATTAATTTAGTAACAAAATAAGTAATGCAGTAATAATTTATTAACAAAAATTTAATATAAATAATAATTCTGAATTCCACACAAAATCAGTTCATAGTTTTATTTATAGAGCAAAAGAATCTCGGTGGAATATTATTATGGAATTGTAATATTATGAATTACTTTCAATGACTTTGACACATACGAGAAATACAAACTTTAGTGATTTAGAACATGTATAAAAGGCACTTGTATAAATAAATAAAAAAAATGAATCAACATGTTTTCCCCACAACAAATTAAATAAAAACATAGTTTTTTACACATATGTCTGCCAAATTAATTTAAAATCTTTTATTTTCATAATAGATAAATAAACAAAGAATATATTGTATTTTATGCATTAAAAATTAATAAAGTATATCTCATTAAAAAAAATTATATTGACTCAAATATAATAGTATAAACAATATTTTCAGCAGATATATGTATACAACTATATTAATAATGCACAAGCCAGAAAATATTCCACTAAAATATATACAGGCTGCCTTATAAATGATATCGGATAACAAAGGGACAAGTTCTCAAAGCACCTTCGAATTAATTTCATTTAATATGAAAAAACAAGCATTAAATACATATTTAATAAGAAGTATTATTATTACAAGCATAAAAGTAGCATATAATACAAAGTCGGTCAATAATTGTAAACTCTGTTCAGAAAATAAATTATAAGTAATATCTTTTTATTTATTTCTATTCAAATCATAGTTTTATTGGAGATGACAAACAATAATGTTTCGAAATAAAGATTTTCAAAATTATTTGACTGCTTTAAATTCAAAACTCAGATAAACTTAATGCATTTATATATATATATATATATATATATATATATATATATATACATAAGTTAAATATTGAATATTTAAAACTTTATAGGCACAACAGATATGGTATGATAAATGCCTGTATATAATTCCAGAAATATGTCCTTTGACTCGCTTTGTACAAAACATGCTTTGCACTTACATTGTTCGATATCCACCATAGCAGCTCCCACAATACAAATCCAATACACTAACCACCTCTAGAGCATCTGCCAGAAATCTCAAGTACTCGACACAAAATCACTACTTTAGAACCACTACTTTAGAACTTTACACAATACACGACACACGACTTATATTAGAGACTTTCGTGAATTTAGAATTCGATAATAACAGATATGTGTTGGAAGTACTCAAATATAACTTACAAAAGCACATATATAAATTATACTATTGATAATTGCATGTATATAATTAAAGGATACATTGGCGCTGTAAATGAATTAATAATCTACAAAAGCACATATATAAATTATACTATTGATAATTAAAGGATACAATGGCGCTGTAAATGAATTGTTTAATTATAAAATTGATTCAAAATGGAGACCCTGAAAGAGATACTTATCAAAGGCACCTCCACACATATCTATTTTTTCGGCTTTTAATTAACGTTTCACGATAAATTTATTATATCAAAATGATCTACTAAATTAATTACACGTTTTGATGCATAAATTAATTAAAACTAATCAAGGATTTAATTAAAAAAAAACGTTAATTACCCCTAGCACATGTTAATTCACGAAAATCTATTTGACAACTGACGCAATTGAAGTTAACAACGTGTCAAAATATTTGTCGTCATTATTATAATTTAGAGCGCGAAATTCAAACTTTAAATTTAAACTTTATAAAATTCACTTATATTCGCCAAAAGCGAATGGATTTGTTTGAATCCAAAGACTATTCAAATCACATATCCAAAGACTATATATACACTTTGCTTTTTACCGTATATATTCAAATCTTATTTTGGGAAAAAAAAATCGGGAAAAAAAAATTGAAAAAAAAAATTTTGAGGAAAAAAATTGTTAGAAAAAAATTTCAGTTAAACTTGACTACAACATATATCAACAAACAACATACTGAAGTTTCAAAACCCTAGCACAAACAACAAAAATATGCCAGGCCCACAAAACCAAATTTTCATGATTGCAATTCACCTTAAATCTACCATATTAATCTTTTATAATCTTACCTTTTCGCCAGCCCAATAATATCCAGCAATTTCACTTCTTCCTTGGCGTATTTGTCTTTGAAGTCTTGAATGAGAAGAATTGAAATTGTAATATATTATATAAAATTTATTCAAAATATTAAATCCTCGTCGGTGAACAAATTAATGAGTATAATAATGTTATAATATAAAGAAAATATATTAATGTTTATAATACCTGTACCTATACGGTGTGTTTTTTTCAGTCATTTTCCATGTTTAAATATTTTTGTAATTTAGGTTACAGCATAATTTAATTTAGCCGTAAAATGGCTAATAATTAAATTAAAACAACAAATTAAATTAAATACAATATATTTATTCATTATTCCATGAACATCTAAGCTCTTAACTATTCAATATATCACAGTAGGCATCTTCTCTGGTGATAAGACGGACGGACAGCATAATCAGTAGTAGTTCATTGTTCACTCATGAGCAACTTGAGAGTAGAAGACCACTTGGCTTCAAGTTGTCGTTTACCTTAAAAACAAAGGCAATAAATTAATACAAGTCTCATAAAATATACTTTAATATGAATTACCTGATAAATCATTCAGTGCCGTCTTCCCAGCAACCTCAGTAAGACCTTCATAGTAAAACTCAACAAGTGGTATTTATAATAAATAACTGATAAAGTAAGTGAGGTTAGTCACGTTATTGAGTTTATTAGAGTTGTTAATCATGCATAATTATAGGCAGTTATTAAAAAAACCACTTGCAAGTCATTCACATGTTAGAGCTTCAGGGTGGTAATAGTTGGATTGAGAAGATCTGCAAAAAGAAAGAAACATTTTAGGAATGTTTGCATTTATACTGGTATAGATAAACACATACCTGCTAAAATGTTTCTGGAAAGATTCCGGGTGAAGGAGTCAGTGTGCAGAGCAGCAGTGGTCGAAAGGATCTGGAAAAAAATAAACATAATATTGTTCACATTTATACTGATTATGGATAAAAAGATACTTCATAAAATATTTTCAGGGGGATTCCTGGTGAATGAGTCCTGGAATAAAATAAACATGTTTTAAACATATGGATTAACATATACATCATAAAATATGAACGGATTGCTGGTGTAGAAGTTACAGGGCCTAAAGAGGTCTCACACTTAACATTTAAATTATTATATGCATAGACAAACTTTTTAAAATATGAAGAAATGTCTGGTAAAGGTATGAAGATTCTTCAATTCCTGAATTGGATGTTAAACGACCGGCATCTGGAATAAACAAAAACATATTAATGAATACATTAATGTTATATTTAGAAATTTTATAAAACAGTTGATGTATTACCAAAAGATAGAAGGAGACTCCTCATGAAGGAGTCTGTGTGGAGTTACATACAAATTACAATTGAGATTTTAGTATAATTGCCAAGTTATGTTTTAACGATATTATAAATAATAGTAATAATAAATTAATATGACTTTATGTAATAATTTAGATTTAATGTATTAAATTAGATTTTTGTATAATTGCCTTTTTCCAACAGCTGTTAACCTAAACATCTGACGTATCAAAATTGACACTTAACTGACAGCACGACAATTATTGTTAAATGAATCATTCTTGAAAAGTTATGTTTTAACCATATTATAAATAATAATAGTAATAAATTAATATGACTTTCTCTATTAATTTTATGATAAAAAATCGTTAGGCAAAAATCACTTGTTTTTATTATTAAACGTGGTATTTGTGCAATATGGATAAACAGAGCATAGTTGAATTACAAACATTAGTTTCTAAACAGAAGGAACAGTTGACTAGATATGAAAATCGACTAAGGGGTAAAATCATATATATATATATATGGATATATATATATATATATATATATATACATTTATTTATCTATGTATACTTTCAAAAGAAATCATACCGTATTCATAATATATTGTCTGTTAATATTAATGATTTGCATTAATTACGAAATTTCAGATCTTCTAACAGCATACAAAGGTCTTTCAAAGAAAAGGAGGCTTTAGAAATAACATTAGCAACATTTAGTAAGAATGTCAATGAGACAAAATCAAGTGATGTTTTAAAAAAGACTGATAATACCAAAGCAACTGAGGATGAAGAGCATTCCGTATGCAATAATAAAATTAAACAGCTTGAAATTCAATTAGCCACAGGTTTGAATTCGTTAGCTACTCTATCTGCTGAAAAATCCCGCATGGAAGCTTCATTTCAAGCTGATAAAAAACAATTAAGACTTGAAAGCGATACAAAAGATAAACTTATAAGGGATCTTAAGGAATCATTAAAAAAGGTTGCTCTAAAAACTAACACTGAATTAGAAACTTTAAAATCCAAGCTTATAATTGAAAGACATGACAGGGAAAAAGAGCAAAATGATCATGGAGTCATGATAAGGGAATTACAAAAACTTTTAAATGATGAGCGACATCTCAAAGAACAATTGGATATGCAAATAACAGATTTGAAAGCTAAGTTATATGCTAAAGTTAATGAAGCAGATCAAAAGTTTATAGATGTACAGAATGATGTGTGCAAAAATAAAGTCATCAGTAAGAACGTTGACAACGAATCTTTAGAAACAAATATTATGCTAGCAGAACTGCAAAATGAAATCAGCATGATGAAAAAGAAACATGTTGAGGCTTTAGAGCAAGAAAAGGAAAGAGCTAGGACAGCAGAGGAAAAATCGAGGTGAGAGCTAATAAATATTTTTGTAAAACTTACTGATTTCATAGTTTATCAAGGATATAGTTTGCTGACATTTTATCATTTATCAATTATCAATTATTTGAAATTAAATTTATAAATGCAATGTCTAAAATAGGTTTCTGAATTTTGTCAAGAATTGTGATACAATGCCTAAAATTGTCAGTTATATATATATATATATATATATATATATATATATATATATATATCTGATTTAATGACAAAACATTTTCACAATTTAGATCATTAGCTGCATTGCATGAAGATCGAGTTGCCAATCTGGAAGCCCGATTGGCAGAACTTTCAGATACGGTTGGAGCATATGATCGTCTTAGGCAAAATGATTTATCAAATATACAAAAATTGAAAGATGAAATCGAAAATCTCTGCAAATCACAAAATACTAATTGCAAAGACCAAGTTGATTTTAATGATTCTGAGGATTTCACATCTTCTGGAGTCCACACAATCCTAGCCAAAATTTTAAAATTGAAAAAAATTCTGCTGATTGAAAATGATCGCCTTGAGAAACCCATAGACTTGAGTAATGTTTTTTCCCATGCGATTGATCACTCAAAATGTAAGGATGAATATAACAAACTAATGCAAGAGTATTACGAATATAAGACTAAAACTCAAAGTGCAAGATCAGCAAATGTGTCACTCGAAGTTTCAGAATTAAAATCACATATAAAATCATTGCAAGATGAAATCATTATTTTAAATGGGCAAATAGACAAAAATGAAGTCATCTACAAGGCTTCGTTAGAAGAAAAAACTCAGAATTTAATTGCTCAGAAAAATCACTATAAACAATTGATTTATGATATTGAAAATGATTTTAAAGAACATGTGAGTCAACTAGAGAAGCAGTTACAAAAACAAAGAGATAGATCAATAGGACTTCTTGAAGAAAAAGAACATGAAATTAAAACTCTGAAAGAATCTTTTGAAATTTTCTTACCAGGAAATTCTAAATTATATTTAGATAAATGCAAACCAAAGACTGAACAAGTTGACAGCCATAATTTACACCAGCTAAATAATGTTCTACAAGGTTTGAATGAGTACATTTTATCTCATTTGTAACAAAATTTGTTAATAGTATCATCCATTTTTTATTTAATAGCAAAATTTCTTAATTTTTTATTTAATTTTCTTAATTTTTTAGGTGGCCCATCTATCACATCTGGTGAATCTCCGCATATGTTGCACTATGCACATGAGCTTGCTCGGAAAGATGTTGATATTACAGTACTGAGAAGAACGTTACGGGAGTTAGATGACAAATATAGAGATGTAATTCGAGAAAAAACATTAGCAGAAGATAGTTGGACTGAAAGAGAAAGAAAGCTTCTGGATAATATAAGCAGGTATACTTTTCATTATTTCATGAAAAGATTTTTTTCAAGAAACGTTTTCAAGGATATGCCTTCGTCTTTGATATGATCTTAACCGATTTGGAATATGATTAAATATGTATCTGAAAGAATCAAGACCAAGTGTTTAAGTATTCATTTCTTGATTATTTTTTATATATTATAGATTAGAGCGCAGCATATCGCGTGAGGGTGCTAATTTGGAATATCTGAAGAATGTCGTATTGAGTTACATTCTTTCTACAGATACATTTGGAAGAAGTCATATGCTAAATGCTATTGCTGCAGTTTTACAGTTTAGTCCAGAAGAGATGGAAAAAATCAACAAACATAATACAGTGAAATTGTATAGTAATACCACTACATCAACCTGATTTTTCTATTTTAATACTATATGATAAAGTGTAATAATCACCTCGTGATGATTCCTGGACTTGTTAATATTTCTTTTTGCTTCAAATAGGAAATTTAAATAAAAACAAATGTTTCTTAAAAATAGGTATTTATTTTCGACGTTCCGTAACTATAAATGCTTTATCTCCAGGTTTCTTCTGATTTAAGTCAAAAATCTAAAAACCTGTTAAAACTTAAGCATCAGGAACACAAATAATTTGAATAAATGAAGCCATGAGTGAATATCTAAAGGTAACCCTTGATTGGAGTGAATTTTTGCAAGCACGAAATTAAAAAATGTGTGAGAACTTATGACCTGTTAGGTATTCTGAGAAATTATTGAACTGTAAAAGCCATATCTAACAATGACTATGCCCAGCCTTATGTCAGCCTAGAATGCTACATTAATAATAATTCAAATTATCAGAAAGAGAATTTCATCATAAATGAAGGTTCATTGTAATCCCAACAGAAGTCTCCAGGAAATATACCCCAGAATTAATTTGGTATCGAATCCTGCAGAGTGCTTTTTATGCACTATATAGATGATAAACTTATATCCATTTGTATTTGTATATTTAACAAGTTGTACTACAATGGAATAAATTATTATCTAAATGGTTAGTAATTTTGCCTAGATATTTATCATGATGCAGATTGCATTTCATCATATTGTTCAAATGATATCTAATACTTATGATAATAAAATATATTTAGTTTCACTCTAAAATTTCAGAATTAACGTAATTAACATAATGATAATATAATTTATCAAATGTTTTATCACTGAGTTTGTTTCTGTTAAAATTACTTACTTTTCTTACTTGTTTTCTTTCCATATTCATAATCACATTCTCTGCATAACTCTGGATGGAGTGATTAATGTTTCTTTCTTTATTCTTTAGATTCAAGAATATGAATCCAAAGGACACCCTTGCACTGGTATATTACTGGAATTACATGCTTCTTATATTACAGAGGATTTCCATTGTAAAAATAGCGACTTTAGAAGCATCTGCAAGAATATAAATTTGTACAGATTATGTTATGATAAAATAATCAAATTAAAATATTGCTTACATTAAATTTTTACAATATTTTGTATTTGAATGTATTTTATACCAAAAAGTTAATTTTTTAATATAATTTAATGGATAATTATAATTAATTATAATGAATAAAATACCCATGGTGCAGTTTAAAATAAGTACCTATTCTAAGTTTTTATTTCATATTTAACATATATAATCAAAGGTTGATGTGTAAGAATTTATTTCGTAAAATTTCTATGTACCACCAATACATCTGATTGTATCCATTAAATATATACCTTATATTTATATTGAGATAACAATATTAATTACAACAATTTGTATTTTTTATTGGTTCTTGTGTGGAACTTTATTGAGAAATTAAAAGATAAAAATTGTTTTTATTAAACTTAGATTTACCAAGATGATGTGTTTTATTTAATTATACATTGAATTATCATCAGAGAATGCAAAATGTAATGAATGTTTTTATTAACTTTAAGTTTTCACAACAATTCAAGTCATTCTGAATCGTATGAGAAAAAAAATTGAATTGCATGAAATTTCACCAAAATCATCAAGTCTAATAATTATTCTACCAATCCTATGCATACTTCTTATTTATAGTCTTTTCACTATTATTTTTCTTTAGACAACGTCGTGTAGGAAGCACTTTCTTTGCAGAATGAGTCCTCCATCCGATTCATTTGACTAATAAAACTCAGAAATTACTAAATTTGATTCAATATCCATAAATCTAATGGTGAATGATACATATGTCGATTTTTATGAACAGACATTTGCGAATTTACGCAATTTTGCGCAGTATCACAATCAGCCTGGCTAAATTCACCTTTGGTAATACTGTATCTGAATTACAATGTTATTTATTTAGAATATTTGTATATATATATTATAGTATTTTTTCTTCACTTATTATTATTCTAATATAAATCAACTATGCGAAAATGTTGATGTATATAGTTATTTACCATATAGTGCCATAGA